GATCGATGGCACGCTGTCCCTGTAGAAATCGGACATACCACCGCCGAGCGACAACGACAGCACATTAACACCGTCGTCGATAGCCTTATCCATGGCCGCCAATATGTCGGAGCTGAAGCAGCCACCCTTCCAGCAAACTTTATAAACAGCAACCCTAGCCCTCGGCGCCATCCCACGCGCCGTCCCCGGCGCGTAGCCCAACAAGCTGGCCCCGGAAACAACAGATCCAGCGGCGGTGGAGGAAGTGTGTGTACCATGACCGTCGTCATCCCTCGCCGATTTCGACTCCGTCGACTCGTCAATCGGGCCGAGAGTTGCTTCATACCCTCTGGCGAAGTACCTAGCTCCGATCAACTTTTTATTACAGTTGGATTTCGTGAAATTCGTTCCAGTCTCGCATTCCCCTCTCCAGGATCCGGGTACCGACCCCAGACCCGCATCGTCGAAACTCGGGCTTTCCGGCCAGACGCCGGTGTCCAAAACTCCGACGATAACTTCACTCATGGAATCAGATTCCGGGAACATTGCCGCGTTCTGATCCAAGCCCAGAAAGGTAGGAGTTCTAGTCGTGTGGAGCTCGTACTTCGTCTCCGGCAAAACGGATAGAATCCCGGGTCGGGTCTCCATGACCCGAGCTTCCTCCGGCGTGAGCCGGGTCGAGAACCCGTGAACCACGTTGGTGTACGTGTACAGCATCTCCGCCGAACCGGAAACCGATCTGAGCGACGACTCGTACCAGTGAGTGTGGTCGTCGTACCTCTCCGGCATTTCAGATTTCGCCATGTGCACGATGTATGTCCCCCTCCTCTCCTCCTCCACCGCCGCCGCCGCCGACACGTGGCATAGCGCCGCCAGAAGCAACGCAACTCCGACGAGTAGTGTATGCCAAGGGTTAATTCTAGTAAATTCCGCCATTTCTAGTGTTGGCCAAAAGATCGTGAAGGCTCTGTTACTAATATAGTAGAGAGAGAAAGAGGAGAGAGAGAGAGAGAGGTGGAATAATTAACAAGAAAGTGTGAAACCATGCAAAGACGAGTAAGTAGGGACAGTGATATTGTTTGTCTGGTTTATATGCATGATTGCATTACTACAAAAAATTAGTATATATTTAAAAAAGGCAAAAAAAAAAAAAAAAAAAACCTGGTAAGGAAAAAAGCCATGTTTATCACCAAAACAAAAATGGAAAATATAATGGGAAATAACACACAGTAAAGTGTGTAATATGTTTACCTTTGGTCACGTGTGGTTCATCAGGCTTTGAATCCCACCACCACTTGGTTCAAGAAAGCAATTCTACTACGTACTACAATATAATATTTTCTTCTTTTGCAGAAGAAAGGGTCCAAAAATCACCTCCTAAAACTATTGTTTCTTCTGCTTCACACAATCATTCTATTTTTCTTTCTGTAAATAGGTTTTTTTTCTTGGTAATGGTCAAGTGTTTATTCAATTCCTTTGGTTAATAGAGATAGTCGGATAATTACAAATTGGAAAGTGTAATTTTATTGCAGAGATATTGGAAAGAGAAAAATTCTTGAACATTACGTTTAAGTTGGTCACGGGTTCTTGTAATTGTCAAAAAAAAATTAAATAAAAATAAATAATTAAGAGTGGGTGGTGGGTGGAGAGACGTGGAGGAGGTTTCAATTTCTAACTTCCCAACCAACATAAACCTTCTCATCTTTATTTTTTATTTTTTATTTTTTATTTTTTATTTTTTATTTTTTTGGCAAATTTCTTACCCATCCTTTAATTTTTTATATATAATATTGTGTCTTTAATTCACTCACATTAAACGTCTTGAAGACAATCTATTAATGTATGTTTCTTGTAATAGTGAGTAAAAACAGGGGCAAGTTTCAATTCAAGAAGTGTGAAAATCTTTATGGGGAAACTCAAGAAGTTATTACCGGATCTTGCATTTTAGGCACTACTTATGAAGATCATATGCCACATTGTCTTAATTCTTTCTCTATCACGAGGGTCCCAACCTCCCGACCGAAATATTTTGACGGATAAATGTAAATTATGATGATTTAACGACCGATGAAGATAGCGAATTTGAGTCTGGTGCCAGCATATAATCAACTTTTATTAGAGTGAAAATTCTCACACTGCATATGCTAATGTTGATTCTAGAACCTTGTGCAAACTTATCACACAAAACTAGTTAGAGTTATATCAATGCCCAATTAAGAGGCCCAACAAAAGTTAAGAATTAAGATGCGCAAGCTGGTAACACAATGAATTATACAGATCCAATTATTGACTCAATAACAATAAATAATCAAACCAAAGTCAGTCCAAATTTTATGGACCCATAAGTCAAGGTACACAAATCAATATCTCCCAAACAATATTCCTGAAATTCATGTACGTACAAAGGGTCCTTATAATATACTACTCCCTCCTTCCCATTTTAATTGTCGTTTTAGGCTAATTCACACATATTAAGAAAACTAATAAATGTGCATGGATTCTAGAAAAATCATAATAAAATGACTAAAAACCCACTTTAATAAATGTTTTCCCATTAATTTTATTAATAGTATTAAGGGCATAATTGAGAAAAATACAATAAATACTTCATTGGAATCCTAAAATGACAATTATTTTGAAACAAAAAAAATTCTCTAGAAAGACAAATAAAATGGGAAGGAGGGAGTATATTACAATTGTTTCACCTAAATTACACCATAATCAAGTTAGTGTTAACTAATCACTATGCAAGTAAGATATATATACAAGGGTTCATAATTTTATTTACAATATAATAGAGAAGAATAAAAAGAAAGAAGGATGTATGTGTGACAATATAATGCTAATGTCATTTCACGGGAAAAGAAAAGAAGAGGTAAAGGTTTCATGTGACTCGTGAAGCTACGGGTGTAAATGAACTGAGCTGATTAGCGAATTCAGCGAGCCGGTTTGAAGCTCGAACTCGAGTTTTTTAGGCTAGTGAGTTCACGAACAACTAAAAAAAAGCTCGAACTCGAGTCCGCTAAAACAGTCGAGTTCGGCTCGTTCACAACCCCTCCCTACATGAGAAACTTTAAAGTTTAAACTATAGGGACAAACAAGTTCTTGTCTAATGGAATATATATAATCCCAAAAAATAAATTAACAATGGTTTTTGTCTGTATTTAATTAACTATATAATGAGATTAGAAAGTGACCCTGATATTGAAATATGTGGCCTTTAAATCTTTGTCTTGCCTACATAGACAAAAAAAGATGGTCTTTATCATCAACCGTCACATCTTTTGAGCAGCACACCCCACTAGTATCTTCCCAACGGAGGAAGTCGCATTTGCTAAATGCGTTTTTCTTTTCTGTAATGTTTTTTTTTTCTTTTACTTTTATTATTATTTTATTTAAATAATGTAAATCATGATTCGGGCCGATTCTACAAAGCCCAATCAGGAACAAGTCCAATTGAATCGGGCCTTTTGGGAGAAGAGGGTGGATCTGGATCTCGTCGAATTATCATGTGAATTGGATTGTAGTACTTTTTGGAGATGATGATCTTGGTAATCATAATTTTGTTTTTGATTTACTTAATTGAAAAATAAATTCAAAAAAATGCAGAGCGTGAGGTACTATTTGCCGGCGTTTGATCTCCACGCTCGTAGTCATCACAGAACAAACCGTCATAGATATGGCGTACTTCACCAATTTCGCAGCTCTCCGACGTCATCTCTGCCGATCGATCACTTCAATTCCGGCTCAATTTTCTTCCGATCATTTTGCGAACCCTACGGCTTCTTCTTCTTCTTCCAATTTTCTTCAATTTTTCCACCCGATATTTTCCGGTAAGCGATGGCTGAGCACCAACACCGAGTGGGCGGCGCCACCTGAATTCGACGGGATGAACGCGTACGAAATCCTCGGGGTGAATCAGACCAGCTCGTTCGCTGAAATCAAGGATTCCTTCCGTAAGTTGGCTAAGGAAACTCACCCCGACCTAGCTCACTCGCAAAATCATTCATCGCACGCTTCGAAGAAATTCATTCAAGTCCTCGCTGCTTATGAGGTCTCTCTCTCTCCCCCAAATTGTTTGTTTATGTCAATCGTGCAATGCATTTTCTGAATTGCGAGCTGCTTTTTTAAATTTGACTAATCGGTTTATTCATTTTTGGGGAAATTTTGAATGCCTGCTGTTATCAATTTTAATTGGTTGTGTTAAACATTATCTTCTGGCCGGTAGAACAGCACTGATTAACGCATGTCCGTAAATAACCGTAGAAAGTTGCTCCGCAATTTTGAATATAATACTGAATCTGTAGTTCTATCATCTATGACCAATATCTTCGTAGCTCTATGAGTTGGTAGGAGGATATAATACTGTAGTAGTGTTCCTAGATTTGGTTGTTGTTCTTTCTGATTTACCTCTATATCCATTTATCGAATCTCTCTTTTTACGAAAAATGTCATGCATGATTCGTGCTCCAGCAAAAAAAAATTCACTAAAAGTTTTTCGGATTCCAAAGCTGTAGCTTGATTTATAACTTGATGGATTTCAGATTCTCTCGGACTCTACCAAGAGAGCTCACTACGACCATCATATCTTATCCCAAAGAATCTTCAGTGAGAAACACTCTAGACGAGATACCGTAATCTTCAACTGCAACTCCTACGGGAACCCAGCTAAGCAGATGGAAGTGGTGGAATGGTTGAAATGGTATAGATATACGATAAACGACATTTTGTCTGAAAGAAGAGTGACCGATGGGTCGGGTTATTTCGACGTCCTGGAAAGAGATTTCTATTCGGCAGTCCATGCTGCTTACTATGGACCTGAGATTGAATTTATGGATCTCCTTCCCGATCGTTTTGAAGCTGAGGAGAGGTCCATGGGTACTACATCAGAGGTGCTACACTTGGTTTCCGGTAGAGACCTTTTCGGAATGGTATGTCTAGCTAACAAGAATCGTGAACTATCGCATGCCCACACTGAGAAACTAACATCTTCTGCTTCGGGTTCGGTTAATTTGGCTGATACTGCAAGCGGAAAGTTTCAATCTGCTGCAGATGAAGGTAAAGATTTCAAGAAGCAATCTATTTATACTGATTTTCGAAAATCCGATGCGTATAGAAATCTAGAATTACATATAGCTGGAAGAGTTGCTGCTGTGGCTACAAGGGTTCCACCTAAAAGTCCCAATGTGAAAGAGGATGAGGACTGTGAAGACCAAATACGTGTCTATCTTATTTCATGTGAAGACCAATCGCATGCAAGGCGTGTGTCTACTGGAGATGCATTTACAGATTCCTCGTCAGTTGGATCTCGAGTTCATCTGGGAACTATAGAAGGTTTGGGAACAACCTCTGAAGAAGGAACCTGTTATGTCTACGACAATGCTGGTGTGAAGACACATATGATTATGAAGCATAGAACATTGCTGGTGTGTGCAATATCTTTTCCCTCAACCTCTTACCACCAAATATAAGAAAACAAAAATACGTACAAATGCAGTTTCATTGAAGCCCATGTTAATTATGAAGATTAGAAATACGTACAAATCTGTATAAGAAAGATTCAGGATGGACTGGGGTTTTGGATATGCTCTGTTTCCTACGTATGTTTTTGAAATGTGCCATTCATTAGGATGAACTTGTCAATATAACTCGTAACTAATTTGTGTATTCTTTTTGCAAATATCATTTGATTCATATTAATATCTAATGTAAATTATTTACTCAGTGAATCCTAAAAACATGTTTTCCGCCTTTTGCTTTGGCTTCTATCTTTCTTTTGCTTGAAAGTGCTTATACATGGGATTCATGCTTGCTGTAAATGTAGTGTGTTTATCTTTTGATTTGATAAATGTATGTCTCAGGTGAAACACTTGCATTGGTTTCGAGTTGGAGAGAAAATCTCGGTTTGTGAATGCAGATGTACTCGAGCCCGTATGCCGCCAAGCAAGTAAGCAACAGTTCTTTGTTTGAATCTTTATTTTACTACAACTTATGAATCCACCCTTACTCTATTATAAAAAAAATTATATCTTGTAATTTTTATGTCAACACAATTGTATCTTCTTTTCATAGGATATACGACTTGAAAAGTTAGCTGTCTTAAACGTAACTGCTGATGTAACTTAGTTTTCTAAATTCACCCGAGTTCAACATTTTGAAATATGATTGTAAGTTTGTTTTATCGTAAGGCTTGAACGAGGATGGAGTGATTTATTGTGTTTTCTGAAAACTTAAGGCATGAATGTATTCAACTTTTCATGCTACAGATATTGGCTGTTTGAGCCTCGCAGTGCAATGCATGACATAGGAGGATGGTACATTGAGACATTTGGAAGAGACAAGAAAGGAAAAAATATTTCAGCACAGAGATACTGGGATGGAATAGATACAGATGCCTATTATGAGCAGTAAGTAATTTGTAGATCCTACAAATTCCGAGAAAGGAAACATCGAATATCCTAAACTCTAAAGTTCTGTCGAGTCTGGACGAGATTAGCATTACGGCGTCAAATTTCTATCCTTTTTATTGAGTTGGTAGCTTTTGAAGTCAATTTATGCTATTTAATGTCATTTGCAGGAGACTTCATCCAGCAATGTACTTGCTTGTTCTTGCCTATAGGACACTAGACATTGAAGATGCGATGACAGGGAAAAAGACAATTAAGGATAGAGTTGAAGCAAAAATGTCGAGAATATTCAGTTGGTACAAGAAAGTTGACAGCTAGTACGTGATGTGTGATAACTTCTGATATGTGACACTATAATTTTGGCATGTCTTGGCCTGGGGTTCAACAATCATTAGGAGAGCCAGTGACTGCAAATTTCGCAATGCGAATAGATGAAGATTTCTGAAATGTAAGAAAGGAGTTTTTTAAGGTTAGATTCCAATAATAACTCCGGAAATGGAAAATGATCCGACAAATGGGTCTTGAAGGATTTGAAAATGGATTTCTTGGAAGAAACGCATCCCTGATTCAGATATGGTAGTCCTGAATTTATATTTTTATGATATTTTCAAAATCATGCCTTACAATTTCATCTCAGTAAATAGGTCGCCTTGTCTATAAGTTTAATTTCTTGCTGATTTATACGCATTTAATTTTGTACTGTGGTACAAACAATCTGTAACATTTAAAACTGGAATTTAGAAAGTTCCCTACACTTTGATTTGGATGTATTTCTGACACCGACACATCTGTATCTTGCACAGATGCTTAATGATTTGTCGCTCCGAAGAATATGGACAACTGAGCTTGTGCGCGTTAGAATCACCTGAGTAGGTCCTCCGAATAGCAGTACTGCTCATCGACTAATGCACGGTAATACTTCTCTCTTCTTTTTATTTGTTCCAAGTTTAGTTCCAGTAGTTTTTACATTTTCATGAGCCTTAAGAAAGAATCTTCTTACAGGACACAATCATGTTATTTATATTTTCCTCAGTCTCCAGTCAACTGTTTCAATTTACAGATTTTCCAAATATTCTAAAGGGAATAATTTGTGGAATACTTATTATTTTCATATCTGAATACCTTCCAACAATTATGACTTGCTATTTTCATATATAGATTTTCAAATACCAACGTGGATCGAAGAAGAGAGTAAGAAAGAGAAAACAAAATTCCGGACTAAAAAGGATCCATAGAGAGCAAGTACCAGAAACATATATGTTGGGAAAAATGATGAAAAAGTGAGAATAAAACAAGGGGGAGGTAAAATATTACGTGATTTGGCGAAATTACCCCTGACTTGGCACATGGGAGTTGCGCGTGTGCAATTCCGGCAAGAATTCGGCCAAAAATGTAATCGGTGCTCCAAATATGTGAGTTCAGGGGTACCGTGCAACTTTTTGTAGTGGTGAAGTGCAAAATGCGTCTAAGTTCAGTGGGCAAAATGCTATTAACCGTGTAATTTATGGTGAAAAAACTAGTCGATGTTACATAAAAGTTGTAAAGAATAATCAAAAAGTGACGACAACAATGGATTCCAACTGTATTACCAATGAAATTAGTGTGTGTAATGAATCTGATTTGCTTAATCTGCGTCCCACGTGCACTGCATATTACACCAAATCATAATCCTGCATCTCTCTCATTTTATGAGAACTCTCGTGAAAAAAAAATATATATATATATATTTTAGCCATTTTAAATCTAGATAATGAATTAAAGGGGAAAAAAAAACAATTGTCCACTCGGAGTTTAGTTGGTAAATTATTTTAAATTTAAATAGATAATAAAATAATGTTATTTATTTCTTAATTTTTCTTGCTATAATATTTTAATTCTTTTTACAATGACAATACTACTCATAGATAGATTATCTAATAAATGAGTCTGGAAGAACTCCCGCCGCGTACGAAAGTCGAGTTGTATAAATTTGCTCCGCCACCCCCACCGCCACCGCAACCACTTGTTTTCGCCGGCGCTAGCCATTTTTCTACTAACACACTCTTCTTTTGATTCCAAAAAAAAAAAAAACAAACGAAAAATTAAAAATAAAATCATTTAATTTTACACTGATCACGCTTCAGAAACATAGGAGCAATAAGGTTGGAAATAATGAAGATCAAAGGGAGTAAAATTGGCGGAGCGAAACGGATCAGCCTAGGGTTGCCGTCGATTTTCCTCTTGTGCCTCTTCTTCTTCCTTGCCGGCTTTTTTGGTTCGTCTCTTTTCTCTCAGCAGGTACATTTCTTATAATTTTTTTATAATTTAGATCGTGATTGTTTACATAATTTTTCTCCGTACGTATGTATATGTATATATATATATATACATATATATGCGTGTCCGCGTGCGCGAGCACAATTGTCACAGTTAAGCGTGTACGGCAGGAGACGCCCAGGCCGGCGATGCGGGAAATGACGGAAGAGATGAAGATAGAATCTCAGACGCTGCCACGTGGACATTCCGGCGAGGATTCCGTGGAGGAGATCCCCTTTCAGGTATATGTATACATGTTTTTCGGATTCAGAGCCAATTCCATTTTTTTTTGTAATTTTCCCCTTTTTCAACATTGCTGGTGGTGCTCTTAATTTGAATTCTGAAGTAAATTAAAAGTTGTATGGTGATTGGTGACGGAATATATGATGTCATATGCTGAAGCAGAAGAAACTCTTATTTGAAAACCTAGTTAGAAATTCTTAGGTTAATGTTAATGTGGTATTTAATTCTTATGTGAAAAGCTAGCAAGAGATTTTATCACCTTGTTTTGTTTTCGAACAATCGGTTCATTCTCACTGTGTAGGATCTTCCTTATTGCAAATTTAGAATTTGCCCTGTTCAACATTTTCTGCAAACATGATTTTCCAACTCTGTGACCAGATCTTTCCTTGTGTTCCCCGTTGGTTGAATTAAAGCTTCGCTTGTAAATTACTAACTTATAGTACCTACAGAATTTAAAAAAAAAAAATACGTAGATGATGAAGCCTCCTTCGGTTTCTTTGCTATAGATCTTCGATTGATATTTTTAGGAAACACTCGGATGCGTTGTGCAAATGAAAAGGCGTACATTAGTTATGTTAAATGATTGACATTACAGTTTCGTTGGCATAATTTTGCATTTAGTTGAGATTGTTCTACTGGTTGTGGATCCTTGGCAGATGCCACTTGAAATTCTTGGCTATTGACGTATAAGGTTTACGTAATAAATTTTATTGCATATAATGGGCTCAGTTTGCAAACAATAACCAACAAACTTGAAGATATTGGCAACTCTTTTCAATCTGCGTTGGACATAAATACGTGAATTGCTAAATTGCTAATATGAAGTATGATGCTGTAACTGATTTCGTCTTTCAATTTTTTATTATGATTTCCTTAGATTGTTTTAACTCGATGTTTTTGATTCCGCAATTCTCATGTCCTAGATTCTGAGCTGGATTCCTCGAGCATTATTCTTCCCAAACTTTGCTACAGCAGAACAGTGCGAAAGCATTATAAAAATGACGAAGCCGCACCTCAAACCGTCAAAATTAGCTTTTCGTCAGGGAGAAACAGCAGAAAATACCAAAGGAACTAGGACAAGGTTTATTACAACTGAAGTGAATTGATTTCATAAGAATGTACAGTTGCAGTCTTTTTAATATTTTTGTTTGTGTCTGATTTTCGATTAAAATTGGATGATTATTTTCTGTCCTTGTAGTTCGGGAATGTTTATTAGTGCATCTGAAGATAGTACTGGACTCCTCGATCAGATTGATGCAAAAATTGCTAAAGCAACAATGATTCCCAAGAATCATGGAGAGGTAGAGTGCGTTTAAGATTTATTTATTTATTTTTGTTCTCCAGTTAGAATACGAGAAATTCATGAAGTTTTTTATTGTTTTTTTTTTGGCACTTGAACGGTAGCTTTGGCAATGAAATAAAATGCCGTCTGTAAAAATCATAGAATACCTGATAACAAACAGGGATCTCAATAAGTAAACTTACCTTATAGTTAGTTTTGAGATTATTCGTTTCAAAATTTGATGTCAGTTTATCCGAAAAAACCTCTGATAATGTCTAATGGTGGTGTTTCAGTCCTTTAATGTCCTGCGTTATGAGATTGGGCAGAGATACCATTCGCACTACGATGCTTTCAATCCTGCTGAATACGGCCCACAGAAGAGCCAAAGGGTAAGACAAAAGTATAATTAATGTCCAATTTCGTAGCATTTTTACACTCGTTTTTTTTAATGTCCACGTGCATTACTTATTACTGGTAGAGTTTTGAACTATTTAGTTGCGTAAACTCACTTTGATTTTTTGAAATCTTAAGGTTGCTTCTTTCCTGTTATATCTATCCGATGTTGAAGAAGGGGGTGAAACCATGTTCCCTTTTGAGGTTTGCTAATTCCCAGCGTTACATTCACTCGGTATTTATTTATTTATTTAATTTAATTTAATTATTTGATTGTTAAGAATGGACAAAACATGGATGGCAATTACGACTACCGTAAATGCATCGGTCTGAAAGTAAAGCCACGCAGAGGAGACGGACTTTTATTCTACTCACTATTCCCAAACGGCACAATTGATCCAGTGAGTGGCACTTCCATATTTCCTCTCCAAACCATTTAATTTTCCATTTTTAATTATTATTATCATCCCTGTTTATTACATTATCGCTAGACGTCTCTTCACGGGAGCTGTCCAGTCATCGAAGGAGAAAAATGGGTAGCCACAAAATGGATCAGGGATCAAGTGCAGTTCCAAGATTATTAATATTTGTAAGTACTTTTCCAGACTCTGTCTACAGCTTTTGCAGTTTATGTACAGACTACAGAGTACACTTAGAATTCATCTTTTTAATCAATAATAATATTAATTAGAAAATATCAAAATACATAAGACAGGTCTTTTGGCACCATCAGAATTATAATATATAGAAAAATAAATATTCAGATTTATTGAGAAGTAAAAAACACTTAAATATATAGACATAGCCAATATGACTGAAAAATTAGAAAAATCAAATTAAAATAATACGTATTCTAGTAATAACTAACAAAATTTTCGTCGAACGTTCCACCCGGGAATAGCTTTGACTAAAAGGCTAACATACTTTTCCATTGCGATCTCTCTGCTCATGTCACCTAGTTTCTGCCAGGCATTCCTGTTTTTATTCAGACACATTAGTTTTAAGACAATTAAAAGTTCTATTCGTGAAGTACTAAACCTGGAAAATAAACTAAAAAGTTCGAATTAAAGAAATAAATTGTACCATTTAGCTCGGGCGGAAACTTTGAATGCCATAGGCTGCGATCCATGGCAAGGACCTTGTAGAGCAATTTTTTGAAGGGCGTAGAGTTGTAATTTCACATCTTCGTTAATTTGATTGGAATTTCTCTTACAACTAACGAAAACAACTGCTTCACCGAATATTTTCTCTAATTCTGTTCTCTCTATTCCCTCCCAATCGTCATCATTATCATAGTTGTAAATTGTATCGTCATCCCTTTTGCTTCCAGTAACTTCTAGAACCCCACTCGATTCATCGGAACTCGTTATGACTAGATTTTCTTCTTCTTCTTCTTCCGTAATTTCTTCTGTGATTTCTTCTGTGATCTCTTGTGTAATTTCTTCGAAAACTTTATTCGTAAAATTATGCTCAAAAACCAATTGTTTTTCAGCATTAGATTTTTCATCCTCTTCTTGATCATGATTAGTAGCATCATTGATTTCAGAATCACTATTTGCTGCTGATCTGGTTTGATCTGCTTCGAGACAGGATTTTCTGGTTTCGTCGAGCGAATTAAGGTATTCGAAGATCAAAAACATTCCGGCAGCGAAACTCACAACCCACAACAGCAATGTATTCACAGCATCCATGTCTGAAGCTTAAGAAGAAAGAAACAAATAGACAAACGACGGCGGATAGATGGGGTTCTTCTTTGTGACCTGTTATATATATATATATATATATCTATATATTGTATATATATGTGTGTGTCGAAAAGGAAAGAAGAAAACAAAAAAGTTTATAAAAGGAAAGGGGGATTTTTGGAGGAGAGAGAGAAATATATTACTATATTGGTTACAGAAATAAGAAATTGTATTTTTTAAGGTTGGAGTGGGACCCAAGTTTCACACAACAACGTGCAAAAGAGTTGTCTGAAAACGACTTTCAAACGATCACTCTTTATTGGTTTCTAGCTAGTATCCTACTCAGACTAGAGTATTTGTAGATATGATCGAAGAACACGTACTCACTATGTGTTAGTAATTATTATAATTTTTTAATTGTAAAATAAAATAAGAAATATAATATATTACAGTTTACACATTCATTCCTAAAATTATTTGAAGGTATTTTGAATATACCTTGTACTACAATTATTTGAAGGTAGTTTTACTTTTAAACATGATTTAATTGATATAGTATTTTTTATCTTCCGCGAAAATATTATTAACTTTACTTTTCTTCTTCTTTTTTTTTCCCCAAAATAGTTTTTCTCAAAATAAAACAAACTAGCAAAACACTTCCAATTTTTTTTTTTGAGGAAGCAAAACACTTCCAATTAACATTGACTACAAAGACTTATTAGTTATTGCTTATTAACTATGTAGCACTATGTAGCACGGACATGAAAATGAAGATACAAAAAAATGCATAAATAAATAAAATATAGGTGTATATTTATAAATCTGTTATAAAAATATATATAAGTTTTTATTTTATATATATATATTCATTACAAACATATTCAACATATATTTTACTATTAATTTGCAATTAATCATTAAATCATGTAAACAATTCAGTAAACAAGAAAAGTATTTGAAAATTTGTTACTCACACATGTTTCTAACTTTTAAAAATTGCAAAACAGTCTATAAAATGTCCAACAAGTGTCCTCAAGTGTCGGATAAAAACCGTGTCCGAAACATGAAAACATTAAGCAGTTGAAATTCCGTTCTACATAGCTTATTAGAATTGCCTCATGTTTGGTAGCAATGCACTTATATATAAGACTTGGAATTCAAATAATAAAATTTTTACTCAACTTCATGAAATCAATTTACTCAATTTTTTTAATGAATAATCCATAAATAAATCATACTGTCATACATATCAAATTCACCAAAAGAGGAGGACCAATCCACTGATCACACTAAAATGTGTAGTCAAAGTCATATAAACTCAAACCTTAGGGGTAAACACAAATAAATATGAAACCTAGAATAATTATAAAAAGAACCCTCTCTCGAACATCTATATATACATTCCCAAAATTGACCTTGGACGAATTGCTTCTGTTCATAGGCGCCCTCTCCCTCCGCTCTCAAAGGGAAAAAAGAAGAGTTCATTTCTAGGGTTCCACAATCTTCACATTTTCCGATCATCCAACGGAGTTACAGGAAAAATTAAATTGAATTAAATAAAATAATGGGTGGTGGTAATGCTCAAAAAGCCAAGATGGCGCGTGAGAAGAATTTGGAGAAATCGAAAGCAGCTGGCAAAGGTTCATTTCCTGTTCTTCGATTTCTTCGTTTGTGGTTAATTTTTATTTTATTTATTTTTTATTTTTTCTTAATTTTCCGATCGGTGCAGGAAGCCAGCTTGATACCAACAAAAAAGCCATGACAATTCAGGTATCCATTTTTATTTATTTTTTATATTTTTTTAAATATTGAAATTGTGAAAGGATCAAAGCGAGCTATGATTATCTAAGTTTTTAGTTTAATTTGAAGTTAGTTAATTAATTTATTTAGAACGAATTTCTTGGGGCAAAGTTTGATGAGTTTTAGGGTATGATGCAAGTATATGTAAAATTAAAAATGAAATAAAATTAGATTTTCGATTGCCAATTTTTCTCCTTCAAGAAGCCGTAAAATTTTCGTACCCTAAGCACCCGTAAAGATTGGATCTTTGTCCTTTTGAGTTGCACAAGAGTCAGGTTTAGGTTTGTATTGAATACAGGGGATACGGATGTGTTGGTGCATATATTCACTCGTATATAATTACAGATGTAGACTAATTTCATTTTATTTATTTATTATTACGAATATTATATTTTTGGGCGGTGATGATGGTTGAGTACCGACCATTATCCAATTGAACTAATAACCATTTGACGATAATTTAAGTTCTTTTTACGAAGAATATGTCTAATGAGTCTTAACAGTTAGGCTCAGGGGTATATTTTTGTTCCATCACTTCTGAGTCAAGCAACGGTTGACAATTTGTAGTCTGCTCTTTCGTTTTTTTCGTTTTCCTAAATATCTTTCCTTACAGCTGCAATTTGAAACCAGAAAATATAATTTTATCGAAAGTAGGGTGCTTTGGATGCTTCTTCCTTCGTTAAGACTGCTTTTACCGACCGATCATTGCAGAAACTAGTGATGCTACTTAGTTACCTTTTGATATTCTAATAGCATACTCAAACTCGTTTGTTTTTGCTGAAATATTGCGTTAGCCCTAAATTGAGATTGATTTTATTAAGGTTTTACCGGGATTAGCCATGCATGGCAAATAGGCCTCTTACGGTGGCTAATTTTATCTATAAAAAAAAAGGAAGATGTGGCGTGAAGCTCGAGTTGTCTTGGACTCGATAGTCGATGCATACCATATTTAAATACATTTGAAAAATTTACCTGTCGTTTGGCGATGGGTTCTGATTCTTGCCGTATAATATTAGAAAAACTTGCACGGATAAAAAAAAGATTTTAGTTGGAGATTTTTATTTTTTCAATTAGTAACAGATTAACAGTTTAATTGATTAATATTTGGGATGGTGGATGCAGTGCAAGGTGTGTATGCAGACATTTATGTGCACGACATCCGAGGTGAAGTGCAGGGAACATGCCGAAGCAAAGCATCCCAAAGCCGACGTGTTTGCCTGTTTCCCTCATCTCCAGAAATGATTTTTATCCCGACGAGTGTCGTACAATTCCTGCCGAAAAAACAAGCATCTGATGTTTACAACTAATGTATTTAATAATGGTTTAATTAAGTTAAGATGAGTATTGTGGAATGGTGCTTGTATTTGTTGTGCTTCTTTAGTAGGATTTGTGTGTTTCTTTAGTAGATTTGTATGTTATCTTAACACCTTGTTTGGTTGCCAATGTAAGATTGAATAATGAAAATTGTGTGTTCATAAACGTTCGCACGGCTTTTTTCTTAGTAATCCGCCGCCCACCACCACCACTAATCCATCTCTATCAGAAACAACAACACCACCACCACCGCCACCACTCCATCTCTACCGGATATAGTTTAGGGGGGATTTTCGTAATTTAAATATCAATTCTTTACTCTTTGGGCAATCAAGACATTTTTACGGTTATGTTATTTTACTGGACCGATTATTTGAGGGGTAAATGTAACTAATTAATTCCGATAACAGGCATAATTTGAATTTATCTCAGGGGTGTATTCGTAATTTACCCAAAGCCAAAACATTAAAATTGAATATAGAGTAGTGTTGTACCGGCGAATTTACCTGCCCTTCTTGGCGCACACTATTTGAGCGTACGCAACTATATATTTCAGTTTTATTTATTTATTGATTAATTATATATTTCAGTTTTATTTATAAATTAATTATATATTTTTGCTTATAAGCAGGAGAGGAGGATTCTTTCTTCCACACGTCAGCTGTCGGCAATTTGCAGCAAATTTGGGGGAATTTTCATAAGCGCGGCCACTCTTTTCTTCCCAGTAAATTCAATTTATTGAAGATATTCCCCGTCGATTCTTCGCGGTTTTGCCGGTAATTCATGTTTAGAATCTCTCTCTCTCTCTCTCTCTCTCTCTCTCTCTCTCTCTCTCTCTCATGTGATTTGAACAAAATTGTTTCTTTCTCACAGAAAATCACCGGATTTTATCAAGTTATCGTGTCTTTTCTCTGTGTGTGTGTGGATTTAATCAATTAGCCCTAATTCTGATTTACTGATTCAGCCTCCAACTATTACTGATGACTGGAACACTGTATAGTTGGTTTGAATGAAAATTGAAGATCATGCAGAAATTAGGTTAACTTCAAATTGCATTAATTTCATAGTACAAACTCCACTTTGGTATGCGCTGTGCAGTTTCTTCCTCGTGTGTTTTCTTGTTGGGCTCAATCAATCAAATCCTGACCGTTGATCGCAGAGTCTAAAAATTCTTTTGGAGTTAATAGGTTGACCAAAAAGGATTGCCTCTGTCACATGAAGTTTTGAGTGATTTTGCAGATACGATTTCGATTTCTCATGTCAATGTTTATCAATTTTGTTATTAAAACCATGACAGAGTTGTTCCGTAGTGCTCGTTTAATGCTTCTCTCGGTGGAAGTTAATCAAATATCCAATTGGATCGCCTCCTTTTGCTGCAATTTTTGGTGATTTTTTTACGTTAGCTAATTTTATGGACAATTTGTGGAATAGAATGGTGAAACTCTCTCTTCTGCTTAAAAAAAAAAACAGGAAAAACAATTTTTAGGAGTAATGGAGTTGGCAGAGCTGAAGTGCCCTCAGAATGACGAGATACGTATAAACAGGAGAGCCTTAGAGGCGATGCTCCAGCAATGCCAGCTGGCCCTCCAACAACAGAGTGCTTCTGAAAGTGACGATGATGTTGCTGGGGAACTTGATCTTCCGGAAGATTCTACTGGCACTTCTGCTTCTTCCAACTGCGACACTGGCACAGCTGAGGTAAAGGTTTTTTCACTTGTCAGTTTCTGTTACTTTTCATTTTATTTTTCACCAGCCTAAAATATTGGCTTAGTTATTCATGGAGCAGACTATTTACTTCCGTTTTCATCGCAATTTATGCTTTGGTGTTTGTTGTCAAGAATGTGGTTAATCAACATATTACATCAATTGTATTGTTTTTGTTTTCTGAATGCCGTATCTAGCTTGCTCGAGCTATACTTTTGCAGTTACAATCTCTTAAAATATCAAGCACTTGAAAGATAATTTTAAATTGTTTGAATCGTTAATTCGTTTTATGTTGCAGCTTTGTGATCTCTTGAAATCAAGTTTTGAATGCCCCGGATTCATCAAGAAAATAGAAGACGCTCAGGCGTTACTTTTGCAGAAAAACATGGCCGGTACGACTTCCAATTATACCAACTTAAGAACCTATAAATATGTTATGATAAAAAAAAGACATGCAAGTCGAAATATGTTTCTCTAATATGTCAGTTTCTTCAATTATAGTTTTTTTTATTCCTTATCGAGTACTATTATTATAACTTCATATTTGCTTTTTACTTCCCCTGTGATGCAGAGGAAGGCGGTTCGTGGGATATGGTTAGCAAAAATGATATTTGGGGAGGTGAAAATGTTGACTTTGAAACCGAAGATTATGTTTTAGTTAGACGAGAGGATATAATGGAGGGTATAGCGTCCTTCATGGCTGCATATCTTTTGTCCCTTGAACAAACTAAGGTAATCATTAATCTTCTTTGTTTCAACTTGCCCTCGATTTTTTAATATATTTCAAGATTATTATGCCTCAAGGTGACCGCCCTCTTGTGTATTCAGAACCTTCAAATTCCATCTGGTTCATTTTTTTTTATAAATAATTCATATTGAATTATACGAGTTCTAAATATTAAAGGGGCCCTTGAAATCTTGTATCCAACTTGATATCTGAATTTGGTGCAGCATAAAGCACCTTCATATTTGCCTCGATTAATGTCTTAGATTCTCATGACTTGCTGAGTTTTTCATATATGCCTTCTTCATTTCCTTTTTTTCCCGCCTCCGTTGAGATGTTTGTTGCTCTGTTTTTGCAGGATTTGGCTCCAAACCAGCTTCAAGAAGGTGGGTTCAACTAATTTCTTTCCTTTTTCTTCCCAACGACTTTTTTTAAATGTTTCATGAGTTTTCATTATATTATTAAAAGCTGAATCAAATAAAACTTGTGTAAACTTTGTTACAGCTCTAAGCAAGACATTCTCTGTAAAGAAGAGGAAGGGTAAGCTTCGGAAGGCTTGGGACGGAAGCAAAGTAATCTACAATGTTGCATCCTGGGGAGCTACTGCCATTGGGTGAGCTATACTTCAAACATATTACAACATTTGTCAATTTTGGACATTTGTTTTCCACTTTCTTACACTATCTTAAAACATGGAATTAGTTTGCTATCATTTCAATAACGGAATTTCCTTTCTTGATAACCGTATTTTTTCTATACCGTTTTGAACAGAATATATCAAAACCCGGCCCTCTGTAATGCTGCCGCTGTAGCATTCTGGACTTCGTGCCGTGTTATTTCCAAGCTACTGTGAAGCTTCATCAGTGACTCAAGAAGGAGGTGATGGTTGAATTACAGAACCGAAAAAAAAAAACGAAAAGAAAAGAAAAAAAAAAAACAGAAAAAAAACAGAGATTTGTTTTATATAGTTTGAGCCTGTAAATAGTGTTCTCAATACCCTAGAAATTGTGCAAGAAAATAGGTTGTCTTGTCTGTATATATAACGGAGTTCATTTGTTTCCTACATGAACTGTTACGAGATTTGCATTAGCACAAGCATTTATTTTTGTTTTCTTTTTTATTTATCTAAAACAACAATCTCTGAATAGTTAATACAAAATTATAATCCTTTATAACAATATCAAAAAAATGCAACTCTGTACACATGATCTTCTTCTGCTGCTTCTCATCATCATTATCATACTTGGTCTATGAATATATTTTGAAATTATAGTGTATCATGGGATTAGGTTAAATCTTATTCATCTAGTAACCGTCTTGGGCTGGATCTGCTCGAAATCGAAAACCTCGAACATGAGTCTCCTAACATCGGGCTTGCCATAAACAGCGTAAGAAAGCCCGTGTATAGCTTGTTGAACTGATGTGGTGGCTGGATTTCTCAACCTTCGATTATGCTCGTAAGAATCTTGTACCTCTTCACTGTAGATAATGAATCGGTGTAGATAATTCTCCCTCAAGTACTTGCCGCAGAACTTGTTCATTAGAATACGACGGTGTTTTTCCTGTAACCATCTTCCGGGAGCATCTAGATGCTTCATAAGCAACCTCTCAGCCATTACAAGATCCTGTCCAAGATTAGGGAAACCTAGTTTAATTTATCTGAAATTTCAAATTTTTCTCGATATAGTTATTACATTATTGAACGAGCCCGCTCTTGTGTAGGAAAGATATTCTTCCCCGAGATGGACACAAATCTACTAAAACCTAAAATAGACATGAATTATCTACATACATAGATAGATTCATAATATAAAACAAACTCCGAAGGCCTCGTTTGGTACCTATCTTGGATTAGATTGGAATAAACTAGACAGAACAATTAGTTAGTTAGTACTAACATGTTTCGTTACTTGTATTAGATCTAGTAATAAAATTGTTAAAATTTGGTATCATATATGACTTCTCAATAATAGCCCTAATTTAACAGTAATCTTATCCTAATTTTCATGGACAAAATTGTCTATTCCTATTTGGCGACTACCTGCAAAATTAATTAATCGATGGGGGTTCTAATTTTATTGGATAGTAACAGTTGATTGCGGGCTTAAATTTTTTTAGCGGACTTCAGTTAACTGGAATCTTGTCAACCAAACATGTCAATACATCCTACTATACAGTCAATAGGACTTAACAGCGGTAGCCAAACGAGGCCCCTAAGTAAAATGTAACATCTACAATTGTAGCATATATATATAAAAGAATATTTGAGAAAGCCTATATGCAAAGTGTACCTGGATCTTTTGACCAACATATTCCAGACGCTCAAAGCAAAACCGCGGATGTTCAAACTTGTACATGGACGGGTGCATGAAAGCAAGCTGTATTGCATTTCAAGTATCGGTTGTTAGAAGAAATAAAAAATGTACATATAACACAGTATGCAGATAGGAAAAATATACCTGCAATCCTAATCCAAGCTCGATATTTCTTGCTTCGGTAATCTCAGGAATTCTATCCACCATAGGCAAAGGGTACCCTAGGGTTTTCATGACTTGAGGTCTGCTATCGTAATCCCAAATATTCCCACGGAATCTATGCATGCCAGGTGGCACACATGCTCTGAAAAGCCTAGGCTGAGCAAATAGAGCATCTTCCGGTGGCTGTCGAATATCAAATGCAATTATGCATCATTAACAACACTTCAAAAAAAACCTTATCAACGAAAATATTAAGTACGTAATATTTTCTAATCGAACATTTAACGGAAAAACGTGAAAAAAAAAAGGGAATTTAGTGATTTGCCTTATAAGCAGCGACATCCTGCCAGCCGAGTTTTCGGGTATCGAACTCAACGGAGACATAGTCAACATCTTCGAGCTGTCTCCTTAGTTTAGGTTGACAATCTTCAGCTTCAAGATCCATTCCAAACACTTCGAAAAGAACACGATACACTTCCGGCATGCCAAAGCACAGATATATTGCCCCAAATAACGCCCAGAACACGGACCTGCCACAATTACATATCACTACCATTGGTCAATCCTTTTGTATCATAAACAGCATATAGCCTATTGCTTACGCGTATTGATAAATACATATAATGCTTGTCATTACAAAGAAAACTCGTATGTATATATGGAATATCATAGCTTAAAGTAGAAAAAATAGACAATTGGATGGCGAATAGAATAATGCGATGTTTCTAAACTTTTAACAATCGAGTTATGATACCCGAGCATGCTTCATTCTTGACAATCATATATTAAAATCTCCCGGCTCTACCTTTTTCTCTTTACGGTTCGTTATTTGTACATTTGTTTCATGGCGTAAGAAGTTGATGGAAATTTAATTCACGGCCAAGAAGAAGACGTGTGTAGCTAACGTGAATTTTAAATTGCATAGGGCTATTTATCATAGAGATGTGTACACTTACGGTTTCACACATTAGCAATCACATTTAGTTAAGCTCAATTTCCGAAAACCAAAGGTTGTGATGACTATCAACTATATCACTCAAACAAAGGCCAATATCAAACTACATTCTAAAACTTAGTTTGATTCGCATTTGTTTACCGATCCGAATCTCAAAATTCACAGGGGACCAAAATACTCCATTTTCAGTAGTCAATCCGGCAAAAAATGAAATATAAGCAATGTGAAGCAAACCAACCCTCGGAAAAAAAAAAAAACAAGAAAACAAAACGGGACGAAAAACGTACTTCACGGGGGGCTCGCGATCCTTCCTTTGCAGCTTATCCATATCATCAAACTGGAAAATCAAATTCTGCAAGCTAGCAGCTTTAATCCACTTGGGCAGATACCTCTTCCCTATCAAAGCATAAACCCTCTCCCTCATGGGTCCCGGCGATTCCCTCGGGTACCGCTGCAAGAAAAACTCGCAGAGCGCCATTTCCAACACAAACTCACCCAAGAAACTCAGCCTCGAATGCGCCGACCTCACGTGCCTAGCATTAGTCCTCTCACAGTGAGGGTGCTGAAATGCCATGTACAGCAGCGTATCGAATTGCTTAGCCGGATTGTCGTCGCCGTAATTATCCGAGGGTTCCAACGGGTACCCTAACGCCTGTTTCGCTTCGAGCAAGTACTCGTCCATCCATGTTTTGTCGGCGTTGTTTAAACGGGTTGAAGGGAGGCAGGAACTCAGTAGTGGGAATGATTTCAGCGATAATTGCGGGCTGTTGAGGAATCTCTCGGCGAGCTTAGCGTCGTCGAGTGGGGGTTTGAGTATGAATCTCTTTGGGGGTGGCTTTCGCTTCGGGGAAACTACTTTTTTCCGCTCGGCCAACTCTTTGAGAAGCCGCTGCGGGCTGTTTTGGGGGAGATCTTTTGGGTCGGCGGCGGCGGCGGCGGCGACTGATGAAACGGTGAAGAAATTTGATGGGGTTTTGGGGAATTTGAGGTGGCTGCTTTGGAATGGGAATGGCGAGAGTGAGGTTGTGAATGATAGGTCTGGTTTTGGGTGTGATTTGAATGAGGAATACAGCTCCATTGGAAATCGAGATTATAAAACGGCGTCGTTGGAGATAAGATTTCTAGAGCAAAATTGTTGTGGAACGAGGCGCCATTGATGAATTGAGGAGGTTTTTGCAGGGTTTTCTTTTGCTGCAGAATTTTGGAATGGATAAGGGGGCAAAATTGGAATTTTGTTTTAAAGAGATTTGTTGCAGATGGGTAAATTCTACTTTTTCCCATTAAAAAAACCACTCCAGTTTAAATAATTACTAAAAAAAATTAAAAAAAAAAACTAAAAGAAAATTGTGGCTGTCATCATGGAGTATGTTCTCGTTGTCTTGAATTTTTTATTATTTTATTTCATTATTTTTTATTTTTTATTGTTTTTTTAATATTTATTAAAAAAGGGAGAGATTGCGTTTTTGTAATTTCAGAGCTTAGATCAAACAGTGTTAATGTCAAATGTCTGACATCTAACAACGATGACCACATTGACAATTTTTCAAGTATAGGGGGCAAATCGATACAATCTAGAATAAGAAGGGTAAAATGATAGCGAGCCAAAGTAAAAGAGGAAAATAAAATTTACCCTTTTTCTTTTCCTTAAAGCGGGTTTCTAACTTCGTGCTTTTAAAGTCGAAGATTAGGGTGGGGGATAATTTACACGACTTTCCTGAATTCGTTGAATTGCATATTTAGACGTGTTTCTGTTTGGGAAGTGTTTGGACACAGATATAAAGTGAGGGCAATTCAAACTAAAATCGTTAACTTTTTTTTTTTTTGATGAATTTAGTTTCTTTAAACATTTTTATTAATTTTATATTAATTAAGTTCATTTTCGTATTAAATAAAAAATATGTATTTAAATTTGATTTGTTATAACAACGAGTTGAGGTCAATTGGATTGAGTTTGTTTTAATTTAAATGGGCCTTTTGATAAAGAGGAGGCCCAATTCATTCCAGATCCTCTCTTAGTGGGCCCAGTTACATTATACCCGGATCATATCTATTTGACACTCAAGAGTCAAGAGTCAAAACAATTGTTGAAATTACAAATATTTGGTCTGATTATTGAATATGATAAATTACACCCTCATTCATCATCTCTCTCTTTCTCTTTCCACTCTCAGATTCGATTTTTTGTTCCATAGGTTTCCATCCAACGATGTTCCTTCTCGGAGCCATAACTCTATCTATCTCTTGGTCGAAATTTGATGGTTTAACTACTGATGGATTCCACTCGCCGAACTCTTTATTTTGGTTGTAATTTCATATAGCTTAGAGCTCTAGATTTTCTACGCGTATTTCAACGATGATGGGTCTTCTCGGAGGGGTTATTTATTTCCGACTGTCAGAATTTGACGGGATACCAACCTTTGTGATTCCTCTCGTCAAAATCTATTTTTAGATGACAATTTTGTTCAATTTAATTGTCAGATTTCTTTATGTAATGTTTTTCATTACACGCGCAGAACCTTGAGTGATTGGCACCGGCTAGGGTTTTTGGTAGAAGACACTTGGTGTGAGGAGTTCTTGACGGTTTGGTCTAAAATTTTGCAGCATTCACACACATCTATGTCATTTTACATATCTCTTAAATTTTCGTTGATTTTGAGTGTTTGAACATATGTAAATATTTTTTTGTTTGGTTGTACAAGTACAACTTAATAGAAGCTATTAAACTTCTTCTTGGAGATGCCAAAACTTTTGGTTGAAGCCGTAGAGGATGGCAATTGCACTTGCCATGCAAGTAGATATAAAAAATAAGGGCGAATGCCAAAAAAACCCATCACATGGGATTTAAATGCACATTGGTCCACAAAAAAAACACTCTATCAATTAAACCCATCCCCATGCATCTAGTGTAAAATACCCTCCATAATATAATTCTTATCAATTCCATCCATTATGCTCTAACTTTCTTAATATTACACATTGTCCCGGATTTAAACAAATATATCACATTAACCCCCCAAAAGATTTTTTTTTCAGAAAATAATTTTTTTCTGAATTTTTTCTTTCCGGCGTTGATTTTTTTTTTTCCTGAATTTTTTTTTCCGACCGGTCAACCACCATTGACCGCCGGTCTCCGGCTTGACTTTTTTTTTCTTAGAAAAAAATATTTTAATTAATATTAATGTCTTGGCTACTAAATTACTGTCTCTGACAGTAATATTACTGTTTGGGACAGTAATATTATGAATATTATTTTCTCGAACAGTAATATTATTAATATTATTGTTTAAGACAGTTAAATTACTATTGGAGACAGTAATTTAGCAGCCAAAACAGTAATATTAATTAAAATATTTTTTTTAAGAATTTTTTTAAAATAAATAAATAAATAAATCAATTAACAGTTAAATTATTGTCCCCGACAGTTAAATAGTTGATGGAGACAGTAATTTAGCAACGAATACAGTAATATTAATTAAAAATATTTTTTAAGAATAAAAATGCCAATTAACAGTTAAAATACTATCTCCGACAGTTAAATAACAGCTGGAGACAGTAATTTAGCAACGAATACAGTAATATTAATTAATATATTAAAAAAGAAAATGTCAATTAACAGTTAAATTACTGTCTCCGACAGTTAAATAACTTTTGGAGATAATAATTTAGCAACGAATACAGTAATATTAATTAAAAATAGTTTTGAAGAAAAATAAATAATAAAATCAAGACTGTCTCCGACAGTTAAATAACTGCTGGAGACAGTAATTTAGCAGCCAAGACGTAATATTAATTAAAATATTTTTTTTTTGAGAAAAATCAAAATTATAAAAAAAAAAAAACAAGAAAAAAAGGCAACGCCGGAGACCTGGCGGTAACGGCAGTTGACCGGCCGAAAAAAAAATCAGGAAAAAAAAAGTTAAAAAAAAAACAGTCAAGGCCGGAGACCGGCGGTCTCCGGTGATGGCGGGTCAAAATTGGGGTCAAAATTGAAATTAGGATTAAAATTGGTTAATTGATGAAATTGGGCTAAAGTGGGGTGTAAATCATGAAATTGGAGTTGAATTGGGTTTCAATGAATTGGGGGTAATTTTGACATATATAAAAGAATTTTCCTTATTTACAAATAAGTTTGAATGAGCTGGATTTATTCGAAAGACAACAACGATTAGATGTCACTCTTTTAATTAAATACCCTTGTCATGTACCTATTTGCCATTTACCCAAAAAATAAAGCAACCACATATATACGATCAAATCATATTAATAATAGACCCACATGATATTGTATTTTTCCTTTTCATTGTCTGCCTTTTATTTTATTTTAATAATAATAGCCTTTTGTTTTTCATTTCTTCCCTAAATTGTGAGTCACATTTCTGCTACAATTGTTGTTCTTTAGGAACCCCCTACCCTAATTAATATAGTTGTACGTCGTATTGACAGCGTATCGTTCGTCGATTTCCTTTCTAATGTTAGGTACAATAATTAATTAAAAAAAATACTATATGTATTGAATCATCATCAATCAATCAATAAATAGTATTATGGCAACCCCATTAAATAAAGATTTATTAAGATCATCAGTAGGGACAAAGAAATGCAGAAATGGACCCATGAAACTATATAGATAAGCATGAATAATTTTCCAGGAATGATCAACCAAATCAACATGTTGGGTATGCAATTTTTGGTATATATGAAGATTAATCAGATTTTTTTTTTTTTTTTTGGGGCGAAACTTGTTCGTGATCGAAAGTCGAAGGCAAAAATAATAAGATTAGTTTTTTAATAAAAAAAAAAAAAAAAAAAATTAAAATTGGGAGGAGGAGGGTTAGGGTTGATGTGAACTGATGATATGTTGTGGAGGACCATATTTATTTATGTGTTGCTTTCGGATACATTTTTAACCTTTAAGAAGTGATGAATAATATCGCGTGAGCGTTTGAGTGTACTGAATGAAATATAACTCTTCTGTTTAATTAGGATATGTACATTTTCTATCACCAAATTCGTTAAAACGAACGGTCATATGCATAAGTTTAGGGATGGCATTGGGTAAGGATTTGCCAGGTCTTAGATCCGGAACCAACCCATTTCGGGTGGATCTGGGTAAGTTAGGTTCTGGGTCTTATTGGAACCGACCAGAATCAACCCGTATAAATATACTATATTTAATAGTTATTCTATATATAAAAATTAATTTAGGATTCATTAATCAAACTTCCAACTTTCATCGTGTCTACCAATTTTTCACGGTTTCACTTTTTTGAATCTTATTTCTCGTAAGTAATATCTATCAAACTTGTCGACCACCGCTAGCCGTTTTGCCTTTTGAACATCTTTTATTGTTGAAGTTAAATACAATTAATTATATATATAATTTTACTATTCACTTTATATCACTTGTACTATTTTTTTTTTTAATATTGTAGTTTAATTTGAGAATTTTTTTTTATTAAAATATACAAGCAAAAATATAATGAAAGTTAAAAAATATAAACTTTTGTTTTATTTTAACAAATTTGGCGTGTCAGAACCGTTTAATTCGGGTATGAGTTGAGACGAGTCCAGTCTAAGTTAAAACGAGTTGTAACGGGTCTGAGTTTTATATATTTTTCGGAGGTCATATCTCATAATTAGGTAAACCCACCCCATAACCGACTCATTGCCATCCCTACATAAGTTTGATGGAAGAATCAACAGAAAATGAATATGGTATGCAAACAACTCTTGCAAGAAATAATTCTACTTCAAACCAGGCATATATTCATGGGGACATTGAATTATGAGTGGGACACTAACCTTATTAATGCATGTGAACAAAAGTTGGACTCAAATCCATCTTTTTCTCCATAATCGACCCGGTTTTATTCATTACACTTCGAGTGGCTGTCGATCCTCGTCAAAATAAAATTAGACTAATAACCCGATTTATATCTCTTAATCCTCGTTCTTGGCCACTAATAATATGAAAATCTGGTATTTTTTGAAATAAAAAAAAAAAAAAAATCTTGGATTGGCACTTTGTGGATGATAATTAATCTCTTTATTTTTTTTCTCTCTCTCACACACACTAACACACGCACATAGAGAACTTTGTTAGTTTGGCGCCACTCTATCGTGTGTGCCTCCCACCACACACTCTGAACCAAATCTATTTTTCCCTCCCATTTTATTTCTCAAAAATATTATCCAAAAAATACAGCTACTTGTTTGTTTTAATGGAGTCTCAATTATGTAAAGGGCAGATGATAGATCTATATTGAATAATTATTACACACTCTGTTTAGTCCTTTTTATTCAAGTACAGGGTGACCATAATCTATTTTTCTTGTCTATATTCAAGATATAAATTTTAACCCTGTAAGAATATTCTTTTTTTTTTCTTCCCACCTTTTTCTTGATTGGTAATAAATGAGGTAAAGGGCCCTTTAAATAATAGTTGAGATATGGTGGATCTTGACCCGGAGCTGAAGGCACCATCTTCAAATATGTCTGACAAGAAGAAAGAGCTCCTTTCTACTGCCATGAAGAGAACTAGCGAATGGTTTTTTTTTTTTTTTTTATAAATCTAATTATTTATTTATTTGATTATTATTTATAAATCCTGGAAAATAATTGGAGGTTTTAATTTTATTTTTCTTTTTGTAATATGTTTTGTGTGTTTGATTGAACAGGATCTTCTCTCAGGAAATCCCTAGTGATGTAACTGTTAATGCTGGAGGTACTTCATTTTCTTTGCACAAGGTAATTAATATTAAAAACTTATGTGTAATATTGTCTTTTGTATCTTAATTAGTGCAGAAGAATGTTAATAAATTGTGATTTATTCAATATGGAATCAAGGATGACTTCATGAATATATATATCTATATATATGTATATATGAAGTGAATATATAATAAACTATAAAATGTTGTTTTGCAAAAAAAAAAAAAAAATTGCAACAGTTTCCGTTAGTTTCGAAATGTGGATACATTCGGAAGTTAGTCACGGAATCCACCGACGCGGATCTCGCCGTAGTCGAAATCCCCGACTTCCCCGGTGGGCCAGAGGGGTTCGAGCTGGCGGCAAATTTCTGTTACGGAATAAACTTTGAAATAACCACCGAGAACATAGCGACCCTCCGGTGTGCCGCCGAGTATCTTGAAATGACGGAGGAATATTCCGTTGGGAATCTAGTAGGAAGAACCGAGTCCTACGTAAACGAGGTGGCGTTAAAGAGCCTCGCTGGAGCGGTATCAATCCTGCACTCCGCCGAGAATCTTCTTCCCATTGCAGAGAAAGTAAAATTGGTGAGCCGTTGCATCGATGCGATAGCACTCGTCGCGTGCAAAGACAGCCAATTTGCCGCGCCGGTGCGGGCCGGTGGGACCGGCCTGAATGACTCGAAGCCCGTAGTTGATTGGTGGGCCGAAGATTTGACCGTTTTACGAATTGATCTCTTTCAAAGGGTGTTGATTGCAATGATGGCTAGAGGGTTCAAGCAATATGCTCTTGGTCCGATACTAATGCTCTATGCGCAAAAGTCTCTTCGAGGTTTGGTGAGGCCTTATACTTAGTCTCTCTCTCTCTCACATTTTAAATTCTTGATTTATTTCAATCCTAGGATCAAACGAAAGTTTTATGATTTTACTCGTTATAGGACGCGTTTGGGAAAGGGAGGAAGAAGATCGATCCAAGACAAGAGCACGAGAAAAGGGTAGTTTTGGAAACGATAGTTAGCCTTCTTCCGAGAGAGAAGAACACAATGTCAGTTAGTTTCCTGTCGATGCTTCTCAGGGCCGCGATATACCTAGAGACGACGGTTGCCTGCAGGCTCGATCTGGAGAGGAGGATGGCCCTGCAGTTAGGGCAGGCCGTGCTCGACGATCTGTTAATTCCTTCTTATTCGTACACCGGCTAGACGCTCCTCGATTTCGAGAATGGGCAAAGGATATGACTAACTTTTTGGATTTTGAAGTGGATGTGGGGTACATGCAGATGACCAGGACCACGTTTCTCCTTCTGCGATTGAGGTAGAAAAAGTGGCCAAATTAATGGAGAATTTCATCGCAGAAATCGCTTCGGATCGGAACCTGTCAGTTTCCAAGTTCATCAGTATTGCTGAGCTCACGCCTGAGCAGTACAGAATGACTGAAGATGGAATGTATAGAGCGATTGATATTTATTTGAAGGTTTGTGTGTTGTGGATGCATTTAAATACAATTTCATATAAAATGAATGAACCAAACAAACTTGTAAACACTTTGTATCAACAGGCTCATCCAGCATTGAGCGACATGGAGAGAAAGAAGGTATGCAGTGTGATGGACTGTCAGAAGCTGTCCCGCGAGGCATGCGCCCACGCAGCTCAAAACGACAGGCTGCCTGTTCAGACGGTGGTCCAAGTACTCTACTACGAGCAGCAGCGGCTCAGGGAAGCCGTGGACGGAAGCAGCAGCCTCAACGACACCTCTGCTATTCCGGCCAAACCGGGGCCCTACTCGGGCGACGTTCACATTGTAACCGACGAGGTCTCGTCTCTACGGAAGGAAAACCAGGACCTGAAACTCGAGCTCGTGAAGATGAAAATGAGGCTCAATGAAATTGAAAAGCCGTCGCCCACTGCTTTCGGTAGCCCCTCACCGGCCACGACAGTGTCTCGGCCGGGGTCCGCCGATAAACCTCCTCTGCCTCCTCTTCCGAAGAAATCATTCATAAGCTCCGTGTCGAAGAAACTCGGGAGGTTTATTAGGGCCGATGGTTTATCGGCTCAAGGTTCCCGAGGTAGAACTAAACCGGCCAAAGATAGGCGGCACTCGATATCATGATAAATTGTATTTTTTTTTTTTTTTGTGTTAGTACTGATGCAGAAATGTGGGATGTTTGTTACATATTGCATTGTATGTTGAGGTAGGGAAGAGGACCTGAATTTTGAATTTTGGTGTCTTTTCTCTGCTTGTGTGTGTGTGTTGTGTGTGTAAATAAATCATAGTGCAAGTGCATATGTATTTGTTTGGTCAATCATGAAATTGAGATTTGAGATTCGACTGCTTGTATTCTTTATTTTATTTAAAAAAATGCGTTTGATAATTTTCAATTTATTTTTTTAATTTTATATTTATTAAATTCTTTGATGTTAAAATCATCGAAAAGCATAGAAAACTCTTGAAATTGGAAATGATTGAAGAAAATGTGTACATTTAAATTTTAATTATGCCGATTAAACAGTAGTTATAGTTGTCGATCAAATTAATAATGGGCTTATGGCCCATGACTAACTTTAGTTTCGGCGTTGGGCAACTATGGGCTTTGCCTTTCTTTGATTTGTACTACGGCCCAAAACTTATAATTTAGGACTAAGGCCCATTAGAAGGTATTAAAATTAGGGTAAATCACGGTAACCCCTGAGGTAAGTTCAAATTACGAAAACCCATCTCATTTTTTGGTAATTACAATCGTCCTCCTCAACTATGAAATTTTTTACGCGTCCACTCTGACGGTGTTAAAATTAGGGAATCTTCTACATCATGTGGAATATTTTTACCACTTTCGAGCTCCACATTTTGGAACAAGATGATTATACTCTTGGCTTGTCGGCATCACAGTGCATCAGAAACTGTATTTTCGCACAAAACCAGCACAAACTAATAATTATGTTGAATTTGACACAATAAATATAGATGTGTAAAAAGATTCATAGTTGAGGAGCTGCTTGTAATTATACATACAAGATAGATTTTTTTCGTAATTTAATATTATCTCAAGGGTCGCCGTAATTTACCCCTGCAAAAAAAAAACTAGAATATTGAAGTAGATAACAGATGTGTTCCAGATAAGGATTGATTCATGTACATAATTGTAAGAGGGAAGAAGCCCTTGTTTTAATTAGGAAATGGGAATCTAATGTCAACTTGGTGGCAGACAAATGAAAACACATTAAGACAATATACCAATAAAATATACTTTACCGCATGTGGGTTGGCGCTTAATTTTAAGAAAACAATAACTGGAAAAAGGGTGTTTGGCCCTTTTATGGGATGATATGTATTTGGCTCTTACCTAATACTTATTTAATCAAAGGAGAACAAATTTATTTGATTTTTTTTTTAAACCAACTTAATTTTGATTAAGTAGCAATTAGTGGAGTACTTAAAAGCTTTGATCATCATCATCAAAAAGTGTCCACAAGTACAATCAATGGCCCTCCTAAACACACACCTAGACAATGGCTTTCATATTCCCTTTAGGTAATATATAACTTTTTCCTAAAGATATCATTTTGTTAAAAATAAATAGTAATGTTTAGTAAGCATTAATGAGGATTTAGTTTCTTCAAATTATAGAGGTCGAGCGTGCAACATCTGCACTTTCAAGAATCCTTTCCAAACACGTCTTTCTTAACCGTCGAAAATTCAGTCAAACACCGGAATTTAGGGCTGGCGAAAGCAACTAGCGATCGGAAAATTGTAAAGAGGGAGGGAGTGACAACTCAAATAAAAGAGTTGCGCATCATTTAGAGTTATTGTGTGTTCAAAATGTAACCCTAATCGTCCCGTATCTTTAGTGTTAAGGATCAAAAGATACACATCTCTTATTTTTAGATCTCTTGATTTGTCCTAGATTTACGCTACATATTTACTTGTGATGCACGTACGATTACAACTTTTCGAATCTATTTATATAAAATATTTCCCATATCTTCTTCTTATAACGTCTCTCAACCAGCTCGTCGCTCGTCTCAGTTGATTCATCCTCTTCGTATGTACTTTGGGATATAACCTCCTTTACTGTGCAAGCGACAAGGTAGCGAGCTACGAGACAGGTCGCCTTTGACCCATTTCTATCTTGGATACTTGTTGGGCCTCGTGGTCAGTTATGCTCATCTTGGTCCATTCACTTCATTCTTCTTTATAATTCAGTCCATTTATGATAATTCGGATCGTACTTGCCGAACTGACCCCATCAAAGAGTAAACTATAATATTATTTATCGACACGATACAGAGGAAATGTTCGAGGATATATATACCTCGAGAGGGGTTGTGTAATTACACAAATAAGAGGATTTTTCGTGATTTAATTTGGTATTACTTGATCAATAGAGTGTTCCTAATTTATGCAATAATAATATGAAAACCTTTACCTAACCTTTGTTGCTGACGAATCTTACACTAGCTAGAATCAATCATTTCGATCGATGTTTGAATTCAAGATTTTAATAAGTACATATACATATATCTCTTGCACCACTAAATTCGGCCCGACACGTGGCGTAGCTCCCACCTGTGAACACATTTTATTCATGCGTGCTATATATATCTATGCTGGATCCAACGACCAGAAAAGACTAATATGGGGTTAACAATTTAGCATTGATGTTCATCATATATATTGAGTTTTTTTATTTATTTTTTGGTAAAGACAAAATAAGTAGAGATTAATTTTCCTATGTTTATGTTGACAAATTAAAAATCTAAAATATAATGAATATATATATATATGTTTGCCACGTTTCTAACTAACTAATTAAGACTTCATTTGGTTGGAGAGATTAGTCTTGATTAACTAAATAAATGGATTTTGTTTGATAATCTTTAATAACTTATATGGTCGACCCGTAAATATTGGATTTGTATTAAATTATTTTGACTGATCTTATCCTGGCAACCAAACGAAACACAATTGAGTAGATTGTGATGTGATATTGAATCAAAGTGAAGTTTGGTTTCAGAAAAGTAGGTGTGAAGTCATAAAGAATTTAAATGTGTGTTTGTTAGATTTGGTGATCTGTAAACACAACAAAGGTTTGATGTAACAAAAGGACACATTAAATTAACTGTCATGATTTGAAGTCTTATCTGCATGTGAGTCATGTGGGTCAATATAATATGCTCTATTCTCGTGATTCCCCGGCCCGAAGATATTTTTCTTGGCCCATATCCACACAATCTCAACCCGAACCCGACCACCACATGTTTCTTTGCAAATTCAACAACCACACCAAAATTAAAAACCAAAAACAAAATATGGATATAATTAATTAGATTATATAGCATAAAACCCGATTAGAAAATCATCGTCTCGTTCGATTTCCTCTGTTAAGTTACAATGACTAAATATTAGTGGTTAATAAGACGTTCGACTGACACGCTAGATTCGTAGTACTTATTCAAAACTACAGGAAGAATTAAAGCTTTTTGCAATTACAAAATGACTATTTCATTAAATTAGTACAGGAGGAGTCCTCCTGTAATTTCTTTTTTAATTTGTAAGGGGTGATTAAAAAAAGAAAAAAAAAACAATGTATACCTAAAATTATCTCTTAATTTTATTAAATGAGAAGTTTAATAGACAAATCTCATATTGCACTAAAACTTAACAAAAATATATATACATACAAGATCTAATATATGAAACCGAACATCTTACGTCTCTCGTCGCCTAATCCAACTTCATTCTCGATATAGATAATCCGACACGGCCTGAATTTGTTGACGATATGTGAAATGCATGAAAAAATAAATTCTAAGAATAAAAATCACATACATTAATCAACAAAGTTAATCACACAGATTAATCAGAGAATTAAGATAATTAATTAAATATATATCAAGTCATGTTGAGGCTCAAGGCCTGGAAAATCCAAGGCGGGCTGCTATTTAATCTATCTTGATTATTACTATTATTATTATTACTTGCCATAATTTCCGGGCCTGGCAATTTCTTCTGCAACTCGTAGTGATCTGATCTTCTCGTGTTTCTTCGTCCCATGGCCACGTGGCACGATCCTGTGGAGGAAGAAGAAAAGCTCGGCCCGGAATCTGATTGGTCAGTTGCATGCTCGCAGGCTTTGCTAACGACCTTCTTCGTGTAATATTTTTTCGGGCCCAAGGTCAGCTCAAGATCGCTATTCATCAGATGATCGTGTCCGTCGATTTCAGTAATAACGACTGATCTGCATTTGGCGGCGGCGGCAGCCACCGTGCCGCCGGATTCCAGAACATTAAACTGCTGCAATTCGGGCTGGACTAATTTGCGCGACGACGCGCTTCTGTAATTCGTCGGGCTTTTGGCGATTTCTTTCATTAGCAACTTCTGTATTTGATAGAGACGGTGGAGCTCGTAAACCTGTGTCAATTTCCGGATCAGCAAAATATGAAAACAAAAATAATATATATGTCAATTAATAATATATATTTAAAAAAAAAATAAAAAGGTTAATTTGATTACCTGGCCTCGAAATGTTTCCTCGTGCTTTAACATAGCCATCTTCATGCACTCCTTATCGTAGTGATTAAGAAGCTTCTCCATTTTTATACTTAAAATTTCTATTTTGCAGATATATATATATATAAATATATATATGTGGTGTGATTGTAAGTATTGTTGTTATGTGTAAGGATTCGTAGTAATAACCACCTGTACGAGGAAAATGGCAGGAAATAATTATAAAAGAAATGTCGTCAACATAAAAAAAAAAAAAAAAAAAGTTAGATAGTACCACACATATATATTAAAGACTAGCTATAGCGTGAAAGACTGAAAGTATCATGGCAATGAACCCATGGATGTGAAAACTCATCTTTTTATTTATTTATTTATTTATTTTTCTTATATATTAATTTTATTGTGGGTGTAATTTTGTGATCACATAATAATTTGGGCCATGGTGTAATTATTTTATTTGCAGAGGAAGAAAATATCTAGGAGAGCATGGCCAATTGGCATCGCTTTCAAAAGCACAGTGAGTGTAGAAAGTACTGATTAATTGTTGACTTAGATATTTCCATTAGTTTCTGGACTGTATATATCCACACATTATTCAGACCAAACATGTAACTCAATTCAGATCATATATATCTAGTTCAAACAAATTAAATAAATAAAATATTTTTTTTTAATAACATCATATATTGAATTTAATTTTCTGGGTTTTTCTTTTTTTTTTTCCTTGTATATTTATTTAATTTCACGTAGAAAATGAGTATGTAATCATAGTTTAATTTTTTTTAGGGTTATGAGTAAATATATCTAAAATTTAATTTTGAGAACACTCATCAAGGATCAGTTCTTTAAATTAAATTAAAAAAATCAAAAAAAAAAAAAAAAAGAGAGAGAGAGAGAGAGATAAGAATACATCAACAATTTGATCAATAAATTATTTAATCTGGTTTTTTAAGGAAAAACTGTAATATAATTTCTTACCTCAAAGAGAAAATCATGACTTCACAAACTTCAACAGCTTTTTTCCCTTAGCTTTGATGATCCCTTTTGGCATTATATACTGCCACATGTATATATATATATATATGTGTGTGTGTGTGTGCTGTGTTCACTATGAGGGTGATGATGTTATAAGAACACAGGGAAATAGTCCCAGGCTCAGTCTCGAAGAAAGTGGGGACTCCCCTCTTTTT